TTACAAACCGTCCACGATGTCATCCCGTTCGCCGGCATTCCGCGGCAAAGCTTTCTGGTCGGAGGGCGTCCTCAAACTCTGGTGCGAGGACGACTATTCGCTAGAATGGCTGCGCCAAACCATCAAGACCATCAGGTCTCCCATCTCGGGAACCGTTTTGACAGTTAAACGTCAAGCCGAGATTCCGAAGAGGGTGAAGGCCTATCATTGTGCCACGGTACAAGGGGGAAACCTCGACCAACTGAGGATGAGGCTGGCCGCCCAGAATCCGTGGTACAATATCAACCAATGGGCCCTGTACCACGCAGTGAAGACGGAAGAGAAGGAAGAGCTATTCATCCTGGTGGGTATCCCCCAGGATGATGTGCCCAAACTTCTCGCGAGGGATTGACGCGTAGCTTACAAGCTCGGGTCGATATATGTCCGCTTCTCGTCGGGGGCAGTCGATCGACTATCAGATCGACCTTCCACGGCAAAACTACCACTGACCACCACACCTAACCCACCGAGGGAGACCGACGTAGGACCGGGCGTGGGTATGGCCAATAAACCACCGGCTTCGGCAACAACAACATCGGCCTACAACTCCTCACCGATCCGACAATCCAGCATGGAAGAGGAGGATGCTGACCGTATGGACTGGTGGCTGGAGGGTGAAAAGGCGAATGAAGAGGAAGCGAGAGCGGGCAGCTTGGTCAGTCAAAATGACGATCAAAAACCCAGCCCCTTTCTTTAACATCCTACAATCTAATCTCCAACACAGCCAGACAGCCACGGCAAACCTTCGGCGTGTGTTGGAGACAAACACCAAGACCATAGCCCTCATCCAGGAGCCGTGGATCAGGGGTGAGAGGATCTGTGGTCTATCCAACATTGGAGGCAAATTACTCCTTGATACTACCGTAAGTAAACCACGAACATGCATCTTTGTTCCCAAGCATGTGAAACCCGTTCTAATCACCGAGTTCTATTCCAGGGACCTGACTGCAATCAGGCTCCTCAGTGATACACCTAGCCTACCCGAGGTGATTTTAGCGTCTGCCTACTGTCCGGGCGACGCTGAAATACCCTTGCCGGAGTTCGAAAGGCTGGTGACGCACTGCGAGCAAGAGGGACTGGAGCTGATCATCGCCGCTGACTCCAACGCACACCACACACTTTGGGGCAGCCACGACACCAATACCAGAGGTTAGGAGTTTTCTAGCTACCTTTTCTCAACAAACTTAAAAATCATCAATAGAGGCTCTGAACCTACCTTTGTTACATCAAGAGCCCAGACAATAATCGACCTTACCTTGACCAGTGAGAGGATTGCTGAATTCATCACTGACTGGCACGTATCCGACGAAACATCTTGCTCGGATCACAGATGGATTAGGTTTTATCTTCATATAAACAATAAATCACCAGAGCCACGACGCATTCCACGTAAGACTGACCGCAAAAAATTCTTTTCACTAACCATGGCCAGTCTGAAGTGTCTCCACTTGCCAGCGGATTATAAAAATCCAATGGAAATAGACACACATGTGAATAACCTAACATCAACTTTAACCGTCTGTTATGAACAATCATGCCCACTAGTACAGCAACGCACAAAAGCCAAAGGCAAACACAATTGGTGGGGTCCTGAACTGGAAAAATTGCGACGTAGGGCAAGAAAGATGTTCAACAGAGCAAAAAACACCAGATTCGAACACGACTGGATCCGCTACAAGGAGGCACAGTCACGCTACAAAAAATGCATCCGATTCAGAAAGGCTGAATGCTGGAAGCGTTTCTGTAGCGATATCCAAGACAACAATCATGCCGCAAGAGTGAGGAAAATACTAAGTAGCGATCCCGAACGCAATTTAGGTTACCTCAAAAAGGCTGATAATACTTTCACTAAAACCGACGCTGAAACCTGTGAGCTGCTGATGCATACTCACTTCCCAGGCTGTAATACTAAATACGACCAAGAATGGGAAGATGAGATATCCACGGCTCTGGATTCAGCTGACTGGATAACTGCACGCAAAATCATTAAAATCAACACATTAACTTGGGCCATCAAAAGCTTCCTCCCTTTTAAAGCAGCTGGACTGGATGGCATCTTTCCGGGCCTACTGCAATGGTGCGAAGAATCGATACTCGAGCATCTACTGCGAATCTACACAGGATGTCTTGCCTATCGGTACATACCCACCAAGTGGAGAGAGGTTAAAGTTATATTCATACTCAAACCAGGCAAAAGTGACTACACGCAACCTAAAGCATTCAGACCAATAAGTCTCACATCATTCCTCCTAAAGGTGCTGGAGAGAATGTGTGACAGGAACTTGAGAGATGATGCTCTAAAGCGTGTACCACTTCATGCAAATCAACACACCTACAGCATGGGCAAGTCCACCGAATCTGCATTTCACAACGTAGTCAGACAAATAGAACGTGGATTATCACCAAAACAATCAACGCTCGGGGTCTTCATTGACATTGAAGGCGCCTTTGATAAAACAAACTTTACCAGCATCAGCCAAGCACTTGTCAGACATTATTAAAATACCAAATACTAACTTTACCATCGATTTACATACTGGATAATTGCTTGTTCATTTTTAAACATCGCAATAAGTTTATCCGTGTTCAAGACACACATAATATTAACACTCGCAACAAAATCAGGCTGTATATACCTCCTTCACGCATAAAGATGCTAAACACCAGCCCCTATCACATGCCTATAAAATTATTTAATAAATTACCATCACAAACACGGGATGAACAGGAATTCCCAATATTTCACAAAAAATTAAAAAAATATTTAACCGATGAATGCTTCTATTCTATCGAAGAATACTTTAATAAATTTTATTAATTTTTTTTTTTTCATTTGTTCTTGTTTTGTTAAATTATGTTATAATGATGGTATCTCCCAAACCAAATATGTTACAATTTTATAATATCATAATAATAATATAAATGTTTAATTATCTATTATTTGTTATACCCGTACAAGGTGACTAAGTCATAAGATGCTATATATTATGTTTAAGAACCGTATGTAACACTTAGTTTGCAAATAAAGAGTTTGAGTTTGACATGGAGTTGACCCCACGACAGCGGGGTGGATCAACAACATGCTAAAATACAGAGCAATACAAGTGACTGTGAACACTACGAAGAGAGCTGTAGTGGCACGGGGTTGCCCACAGGGAGGCGTTTTATCCCCTCTCCTGTGGAACATTGTGGTTGACGAATTAATTTGCCAACTCAATCAACGCAATTACTACACGGTTGGCTATGCGGACGACCTAGTTATCCTCATAAGCGGGCCATTCCAGAATGTGCTGTGCAACTTAATGAGTAACGCTCTCAAGATAGTCGAAACCTGGTGTACTAAGCACCAACTATCGGTGAATTCGACCAAAAAAGAGATGGTCATGTTCACGAAAAAACGTAACTTGGATACAGTTAAATTGCCCAAGTTATTTAATACCGAACTGTCTATGTCAAGCGAGGTCAAATATCTAGGCATAGTTCTTGATCATAAGCTAACATGGAACAGCCACTTAGACCAAAAAATAAACAAAGCCTGCATCACGTTTTGGCAATGCAAAAGATTACTTGGTAAAACCTGGGGTCTTGCACCAAAAATCACAAAATGGCTTTACACAACCATAATCAGACCACTCATCACCTACGGTGCAATAGTTTGGTGGCCTAGAACCGAACTTAACACCGCAATTAATAAACTGCAGCGTTTTCAAAGACTAGCATGCTCTGCTATAAGAGGCTGCATGAAATCCACACCCACAAATGCCCTAGAAATAGCGCTTGACCTTCCGCCACTTGACCTGTTTATACAACAGGAAGCAACTATGGCAGCGCTAAGAATGTATCATCGGCTTGTGGACGGAAAACCAGGGACCTCACTCCAAAATTCTAGAAAAGGCTATACAATACCAACCTATGGTAACACCCCGCTGTGATAAAATCCCGACTACTCATATATTTGATAGAAGATATCAAATCGAACTACTAGAAACCAACAAGGACTGGTCGGGCACAGACGAACTACGCATTTACACTGATGGATCCAAAATACCAGGATTCGGATCAAGCGCAGGAGTCTTCTCACTGGACCTTAACATCCATATATCAACAGCACTGGGTAATCACAGCTCAATATTCCAATGCGAATGTATAGCCATTACTCAGGCCGCCACCGCTGTTATTAATAGGAAAGTCAAAAACTACAAGATACGCATATTATCTGATAAACAGCAACACTTCTGGGTTAGTATACGAATGTCACCTGGCATTGGAGTACATTGCAACGGATAACAAGGTTATCTTCCAATGGATCAAGGGACATAGCGGTTCTGTGGGTAATGACGCAGCCGACGAACTGGCTAGAAGGGGATCATCACAGAGAGTGGAAGGCCCTGAGCCACTTCTGCCTTTACCTTTCAATCAGTTTCGTACATGGGTGCGGCAACGAACCACATAGAACCATAACACCCGTTGGGCGAATACCGAGGGCTGTAGGCAATCTAAGGATATTTTTCCCAGCCTCAACCCCAGATTAACTAGAAAACTACTAAATCTCAACCGAAATGATCTCCGAGTAATGCTAGGTACCATAACAGGGCACTGCCTACTTAACAAGCATTTACTAACCATACGCGTTACAGATAGCTCTCTATGCAGAGGATGTCTGGAAGCAGATGAAACGGCCGCTCATGTGATCCTGGAATGCACGAGCGTTGCAGAACACCGGGCATCAATCCTCAGGAAGCCGAGGACGCTCCTAAAAGCCTGTGAGAGCCCCAGGATGCTACTGCGCTTCTGGAAGGAGCTGGGCTGGCTGAGCTAGCTAACCCAACATACCCTGCACGCACAATGGACCAAGTACCGAGTCTACGTGCGGAAACAGGGGCCCACAACAAGTAACAAGTATGGCATTGGATTAGTTTTGTCACTAATTCCTTTTATGGTATATTAGAAGTAATACTGCCTGGTGGTACATTTTTTTTTATTAACTATAGGTTGGTCAATAATGTTATGACATTATATATGTTACAAGCAACATTTACTACATGGTAGTAACTTATCAATACATAAATGGTATTTACACATTAGAATGCATTATCTTGTTTATAAATTGTAATGAGCAGTAGAATTAAAAAAGTATTCTTCGTAATATCAACTGAACACAGCATTTCTAATATGGAAGTTGACAATGTATTCAGAGTTCGTTCTCTGGACGCTTATGGCGAAGGGATCGGTGGGGTGAAAAGTAAACGCAACCAGACGTCGCGCACTAGCTGGTACAGACTGGCCCAACACACCAGCGTATATTTTGAATTTCAGTAAACCGGAATCACGGGCATAGAACCTGAAAAGAAATATCATATGTAATTAAATAAGCAAAATAAATATCACAAGAACTACTTATCAAAATTTAAAAAACCCAGCTTTATAGTCTAGTTTAAATGAGTATAATTATATACCTTATGGGGTATTCACCGTATGCCTTTGGTCTTTCCATAACAGACACCCATTTATCATCATAACTAAACAGACCTAAATCTAGATAAGGTGATCCACTGTATGATTGAGCGCTTATGGGTAATTGTGCTAAAATTCTCTTTGTAGCTTCTGTGCGACCACCATAGATTGCTCTCACTATGGTCTGTTTAAACCTCTGTTGTGTCAATCTAGCATATAAATTGTTAGATGGTGAGCAGGTAAACTGTGAGTCTGCACGTAACCTTGCATTTCTAAAGCAATCACAATAATTCTCAAAAAGCTGGAGAAGACCTTCAGATGTGTTTTCATACACCTCTAAAATTTTACTTTCACTTATGTTATATATTACAAAAAATGATGATTGACTGTTAGGCTCAGCAACCCTGAGTGTTACAACTTCTTCACTTGCATACTTAATAAAGAGATGATCTTCATCTAATAGCTGCATCTTCCACATTCGTAAACTCTTAAACATATCAAAATATTTATAAAATTTTCTTAGTTCCAAAGGATCACAAGACTCGTCACTTATTTTCTTAGCCCTTTTAAAAAGGAACACAAGCAGTCTATGTTTCAAACTGTTTATTGTTTCTTCATGAAAAGGCCTGTCAACTCCTTTTGGGGCAAATACAGAGCTTACTAGTAGTGGGTCATCATCATAGCAAAATCTACCTATTTTCCTTATTTCTATTAACATTCCATCAACAATTTGAAATAAATGTATTGTTTGATGTTGTACAGAAAGCACTGCTAAAACTTCTTTGTATAAATAAATGCCTTGGTTGTGGGACAGGTAAATTTTATCAATCCTAAAATGTTTTGTATCACACAATTTTCCATGATGTAGATCAACCAAGTGCAATGAATAATCCTCCAAAGCTGATCTGAAACAAATTGATAAATAATCATAGAAGATACCAAAACAAAATGAAGGAGGAAGTCAGGTTTTTCCTTAATTTACTTTTAAAGTTCACATTAGTAATATGGTCACAGATAAACATTGTTTACCTACCTAATTGTTGGAGTAACAGCTTCATTGTTACTATGTATATGGTAGAAATGAGGTCTCAAATCATCTGGAATGTGTGCAGCAGAGCCAACTATGACATATCTACCATCTTCAGTAAACAAGCTACACTCTCTATTCAGCTGTTGCTCCATGAAAATTTGACCAGGATTTAAATCAGGTCTTTCTCTTTGTTGACATACATTTACAGTGAATTTAGGCTAAAAGCAAAGACATTAATTATAAAAATGTAATAGTACAAACAGTAAAAGCCTATTTATAAGCAATTATAACATTTCAATAGATAAAATTAACATTTGTACATGCAAATATAGTACAGTATTGATTGCGGCATGTAACTGTAACACTGAATAAAACACGGAGGGGACAGCTGTGCATGGGTACGACTGGGAAGTCAATCAGCGCAACGCACGCCCATCTGCACACCTCGTTTCCCCCAAGACATCACATGCACAATAACTGTCAGTGCTAGTTTTGTGCCACAACTTATACAGCCCATAATTATTATTAGAATCTTGAATCTTATTTATTATGGGTAAATGTGTTTCTGCTACGAAAGTCAAAAATTCTGGTCCTTAATGTTATTGAGGGTGTCATATTTGTTTTCCAATTGGTGGTGGAACAGGTACCTAAAAATTCTGGTCCTTAATGTTATTGAGGGTGTCATAATTGCTTTCCAATTGGTGGTGGAACAGGTACCTAAAATAAGTGTTGTAAATCACCTAGAGCAAAATTTTATCAATTCTACACATTTTTTTAAGTTTTGTTTTTGTGGTGCAGAGTATACTCTTCAAACCAAAGCAAACTTTGCCTAATATATCATACATACACTAACATTTGAACTAATACTATTATAGTTCACATTTAACTGCCTTATTACAAAACAGTGACAGAAGCCTGGTTTAAAAATTATGTGTTCTATAAACCTGTTACCTGTGTTCTATAAAGAAAAGTAATGCTGTCTGCATTAGGTTTAAACCAAGTATAACTATAGTTTACATTTTGAAATCAGGCTGATGGAGATTGAATGTGCACTGTGCTTTAAGATTAGTTTTGCATATCACTTTGTTAAAAAAAACTACTTCTCAATATAATACCTTGAAGAATCTATAAAAAATATGTGTTCTTATTCTGTGATGTGCATCTGCATCAGCATTCAATAAATCTGATGGGTATCCAGCCACAAGATCACCAGCAGCGGCAGCTCCTTTGTATTCATATATCTGAAAACGAGTTACCAATTTAATTATTCTGTGTTAATAGAGGTAGGTTATTAAGGATAAAAGTTATTAAGTTATTTACCTCTAAAGAAGTTTGATCAGCCGAGAAGGCTATGAAATGCTTTCCATCTGGGCTGAATTTTCGTAAAAAGCATGGTGGTTTTTCAACATTTACAATAGTTAAATTTGGAAAAACATTTTGGTAAAATTCTCGAACTACATGAAAATGCGATCCAGGTTTACGCGAACCATACATTTCCCTATCCATCAATCTCATAACAATATTCTGCGGTTTTATTTTTCTTGGAACTATTCTTTCAGTACAAATGAACTCTTCTTCGTTGAGAGTTCCAGGTGGAATATCTTCATAGTAAATTTGCGAAGTACTCATATTGGGGGAAGACATGGCATGTCCTTAGTTTTACAATTAGTGACATAAATATGATAGCTCACAGGCTAAATCCAACAAAATTCAAATATTCTACTTAGCTCAACCACAACAACAACAAAGTGACCCAAATTACATTTTTTTTAGTTCTATTCTTCCCTATTAGGAAAGGCAAAGGCAAAGCCATGCAGCCATCGTCTTATTTTTGTATTAATTTTCCTTTTTTACATTAGAATGTGACGCATTCTAATGTTTCTTGAAGTGTTTGGCACGAAATGTATCGAGTTGGCTTTTTCGATAAGCTTCTGTGAGGTAGTAAATACTACAATAAAGTTCTCACGTCCACTTGACCCGAATAGCGTATCTTTTAATGATTCCACTAATTCTTCAGTTGCGCAGACGGTTGTAACACAAAATCACACCAATTTTATTTCACAATATCCACTATGAACAAATTTAAGAATAATTAAAATAAGACGCCAACCGCACTCGATGAAATCCCGCCAAAAACTCCCCCAAATTACTTAAATAAATGTCACATTGACATAATCACAGATAAGGGGTGTATTCCGAAATATACATCAATAGATATATAAACAGGGCTGTATGGACTCGGAATCCTTTGCTCGTCCCAACAGGGACAAGACCAAAAAAAAGTAAGCAAGTTTTTATTTTGGCGCGGGAAAGCTTGAAAGTTAAAGGCGGTCTTTTGCGAAATTAAAATATTTTTTATATTTTATTGTTATAAAACACTTAAAAGTTGTCAGAAGAATACTGTTTCTACTCTGCTGACATGGGCAGAGTTAAATCTAAAAAGCGGAAACGAAAACCTGGTGGTGATGGGGATAATCCTGTCGACGAAGATGCTGCTTCGAGCTCCGGTTCTACATCTTCCGAAAATCTTTCTGGATTCGACGAAATAGATCAAGAATCTCCTACAGTGAAGTACAAACCCTTTGTATTACCGCATTATGTCCGGTCCTACTCAGAAAACGCAGGTGGTACAGAGTTTATAGTTTTCATATCAAGTACTGATGATGCTAGACCAGTAGGCAATAGAGACCTTATGTATCTGTCCAACATATTCCAAAGAAATATGAAGGGGATTAAACAATTCAAGTTTGGAATTATTTTTGATAAAACTAACTATGGCTAATGCAGCACTCCAGAATAAAGATTTTTTCAAACAGCACAGATTACAAGCCAGTATTCCAGCTTCTGCAACTGAGCAAATTGGGGTAATAACGAGCGTACCTATTGATTATAGCAATGCTAAATTATATAAACATTTAACTTGTTCAAAAAAAATTATATCTATTCGTAGGTTTATGCGTAGAGTAAAGAACGATAGTGGCGCAACTACATTGCAACCAACGCAAACAATCTCAATTACATTCGCATCAACCACATTGCCAGAATCAGTAGAATTAAACTCATGGCTTTTTCCCGTGAAAAAATATGTTGCTCCAATAAAACAATACTTTAATTGTTTATTATATGGTCATACAGCGGCATTTTGCAAAAATGCCACAAAATGCTCGAAATGTGCAGGTAGTCATAACTATAGAGAATGTGATAGTCAAATCCTTATCTGCTTTCATTGCAAAGGTAGCCATATAGCCATAGATAGTAACTGTCCTATAAAAAAGCAAAAAATTATTGAAAATAAAAGAAAAATTAATAATCCAGTAACATATATTGACATCTTAAATACTAAGCAGTTTCCTGCGTTACATAGTAAAAAACAAAATGACAATGAACATGACTTCACCAAATTGTTGATAAATGACTATATTGTAAATATTCTTGTACAAAGTCTAATTAAAATTAAGGCAAGCGGTGTAACAAATTCCAGTAACATTAAACAAGCTCTTAGAGAAGTAGTAACATCATACAAAATTAAATAATGGCTTTAAGGGTTATCCAGTGGAATGCTCAGAGCATATATTATTATGCAATAAAAATTGTCTTACTCATTTTTTATATGAACAAGACATTCATGTAGCATTATTATGTGAAACATGGTTGAGACCCGAATTAAATTTTACTTTATGAGGCTACACAGTAGCCAGGTTGGACTCTGGTAATAGACACAATGGTGTTGCAATTGTCATTAGAAATGATATCCCCTTTCAGACAATAGATACTACATTTGATAACTCTATTCAAAACATAGCTATTCTAGTAAGATTCCATAATACAGATCTTTCCATAGTAAGTATTTATTGTCCTCCTTATAGTACACCTAGTTTTTGTAAAAATAAATTAGATAATTTAATAAAGCTGATCCCTGAGCCAATGATAGTTGCTGGTGATTTTAATGCCCACAATACCTTGTGGGGATGCCACTCAACTGATAACCGTGGTAGAGACATTAGTGACATAGTTGAAAACAATGATTTATTTCTATTAAATGATGGCAGGGCCACAACAGTAGGTTCTGCTAGTTGGAGGCCAAGTGCTATAGATCTCACTATTGTTTCTTCTTCCATTGCTCTTGCGTGCAATTGGGAAGTCCATGATGATCCTCTTGGAAGTTATCACCTCCCTGTTATGACAGAAATATCACTACAATCACATCCCTATGCAAACTCATCATCTAACATTCCAATTCATTATAATCTCAAGTTAATAGACTGGAAAAAATATTCAATTTTAGTAAATCAGAAGCTCCAATCTTTTAACATAATGGATAATGTCATTGACTCATATAACAGTTTCTGTGGTGTACTACATGAAGCAGTTGCTGAATCAAGTCCTCAAAGACCCATATCTGGGTCAAACAATAGATTACCTCATAAAAAGCCTAAGTTAACAGTTCCATGGTGGAACACAGTGTTGCCAACTCTACGTCTTTTTACGTAGATCTACGTACTTTAGGCCTTTTCTGGAAACCTACTAACTTCAGTCCCAGAATCTACGTATTTTCTTATTTTTTTTCAAATTTGTAAAATAACTTAATTCACTAGAATAAAGAAGAATATTTTCCGTTACTTTACTTAAAAACTATACAAATGTTTATTTCTTATAAAGATGTATCTAAACACTCTTGTATCTTGTAGAAAAGGTTCCCGTTATTGGTTTTGTTGACTAATTTAATGCTGGACGCAGGATTTGTGAAAGCAGAAACGACAAAACTCTTTGACTTAGTAGGTACATTCATAACCTTAAAAATTGTATTTTTAAACTTTAAATATTATCAATGAGTACCTATTCACATCGAATTGATCTTTGCAAAAAGAAATGACTTTCAGGCGATAAAGTTACAGGATTTAGCAAATTTTAAACATATGTTCATGTGTAAGTATGTTTATTTCTCTTGGAAATTTAATCCACAACTTTTCTAGTCTTTTACCAAATGTATCATGATAACTACTATATTTTTCATGTGTTCTATTCGAAATCATGGTTTTATAATATTAACTTAGAAAGTTTATTTCCTACGTGCTTGCGAGTGTTTGTTTACAAATGTTTGGATGTCATAACATAGATAGGTCTATAGACTAAATAGCGTTTTTGTATGTCTTCTAGGTAATAAAAATACATTTTGTTTTCGGTCTGATAGAACAATTATTAACAATTTAAAACATAATTCCAAAAAGTGTCAACTAGCCCATTTAACAACAGTTTATCCTTGTCATTCTCTATACAGAATGAAAAGGAGAGATTGATGTTAAATTTAGTTTTAAATTTAGAGAGCCATCCAGCATCGACACCCACCAGTGTCTGTGTCTGATGGTTAATGTCTACCACAGCATGGTAAATGCTTCCAATGCAGCGACTTCTCCAAGAACTCTTTGTTATATCTCCCGTTCTTAAACAAATTGTATAACAAAATACTCGTTTTATTCGGTTTCACCTAACTTCTTCATTTCACTCAAAAAAAAGTACGTAGATCTACGTACGATCTCATCGGGCCTACGCCTTTTTCAAAATCCGAGTTGGCAACACTGGTGGAACATCACATGTAGTGAGGCAGTGAAAGCTTCAAAGCAAGCATATACTTTATTTAAATCCAACTCTACACCAGAAAATTATGTAAATTTCAAAAGGTTACAAGCACGTAAAAAAATGATCCTTAAACTTGAGCAAAAAAAAAGTTGGCAGTCTTTTGTGAATCTTTTAATAGAAATACTCCCATTAAGTTTATATGGCAATATATGAGAAAATTTAATAGTACTTCTCCTGGTAGCAAAAGCTTTTCAGATAAGTGGGTCACCCCCTTTCTAAACAAGCATACCCAAGACAATGATTCAGAAACTTCTCCTTTTGTATTACTAGGACATAAATTAAATGACACCAACAACTTTATTGTAAACCCTTTTTCTTTGCAAGAACTTCAAAGTGGCTTAAAATCTCGTAAAAATACTGCATGTGGACTAGATTGGATATCTTATCGCATGCTTAAGGAACTAAATGATAGTTCACTTCAAACCTTTTTATATATCCTCAATTCATTATGGATCCACGATGAAATTCCTGATTCTTGGAAAACAGATTGTATAGTCCCTATCTTGAAACCAAACAAGAAACCAGCTTTAGTTGATTCATACCGCCCCATAGTCTTATCTTCATGTGTTGGTAAGATATTTGAACAGTTGCTTAAACAGAGACTAGAGTTCTATATAGAGAAATATGGAATTTTACCTGACAACCAATTTGGATTCAGGAGAGGGAAATCCACTCGGGATAGTATATGTCATCTTCATCTGGATATTCTGAAAGCTTTCTCAGATGACAAAGCACTTCTACCTCAAACAAGAAATCAAGAATTCAAGACCCAATGGCTCGACCACTGGAAGATATCTCTGCAAGAGAAAGGAAAATGGTTTGGAGAAATTCAGAAAGACATACGTGCCTCCTGGTTTGATAAAGGACAGTACAGAACAAGAGATTTTTATACCACTTTAAGCAGACTTCGAATAGGTCATTGCCTTTTTAAAGATCACCTGTACCGGCTCGAGATGGTCAGCTCCCCTGTTTGTAACTTCTGCAACATAGATAATCAGTCCCTGGATCATATCTTTTTCTTTTGCGGTTCATTTCAAGTACAGAGAAATTTGCTGCTTCAAGACCTTCGAAGTACTTTTGGCGAAGAAACCATCCCGCGCGACTTGAGAAAACTTTTACAAAATAAAGACACCTACATTCCTTTATACAAATTTATTAAAGCTACAATCAAAACACTTTAGGAAAGAAAAGTTAACAGACAGGGCTGTATGGACTCAGAATCCTTTGCCCGTCCCAACAGGGACAAATTAACCAAAAAAAAAAAAAGTAAGCAAAATGCCAATGTGTATTTGCTGATCCGACTTTGATTTTTATATGTTTATCATAAGAATCATTATCGATTGAGGTAATTTGACAACTTTGGGTAAATTCCTCATTAGTTTGGGTAACGAAAAACCATGCGAAAAATTCAATAGCAACGGGAATTTTAAATAATAATAAAGTCATATATTAATTGACTTTGCTTTTAAGATAAACAGGAAAGCGAAGAAAATGGATGAACACACGTTACGATATGAAAAAATTGATTTCTTGGGAGAAGGGCAGGTAACAATCAGTTGTAATTTATTCAATATCATAAATTTATTCTCTAAGATTGTTATCCGCACGATTTAATAACTATTTATAACGATTCCAGTTTGCCACTGTTTACAAAGCAAGAGATGTAAAAACGGATAAAATTGTTGCTGTTAAGAAAATTAAAATTGGCTCGCGCCTTGAAGCACAAGATGGAATTAACAGGACTGCCCTTAGAGAAATAAAATTGTTGCAAGAATTACAACATATTAATTTGATAGGGTTATTAGGTGAGTGTTCACTGGTATTTTTTTTGTTATTCTGTGTGTGTATTTACTCACAAAGGATAACAAAATATTACATATACTATTAGACGACCTTTGTGGCCGAGTGGTTTGTACGCCGGGTTTCATGGTGTCGCCGACTCGAGAGGTCCCGTTTCAAATCCCGGTGGGGGCAGATGTTTGTGTGATGAATACAAACATTGGTACTCCAGTCATGGATGTTTAATATGTATTTCTATAAAAATATACTTATATGTGTACACTATATGTATTCTATCTGTTACCCTAGTATCCCATAACACAAGCCTTATAGTGCTTACTTTGGGGCTAGGCTAATTGTTGGGAGTGTCGGAAATATTTATTTATTAACCATTCCAATGATGTTCTATGTTATAGGATATGGTTTCCGCACTTATGCCTCAAGTGTACCATTGTATGTGATGTCATTCGAATGTTATATCATTCCAATGATATAATACCCTCTAAACAGTAGTCAGCAAAATCGATTCTCTACTACCTGACATGTTTTTTCTGTAACAAAAAAAATTATAACTAGTTGGCACCAGCCCTTTCGTCAGGGGAAAACAAGACTGTCTTTCAACACTCTTTTTTTGTAGTTCCCTTGATACTTATCTCACACTTTCTTTTTGTGCCTAGAGTGATCACTGCACTCCCTCTACTCTTGGCACTGGCCAAATGGCGTGTTGTGGATATTCTAGATAATTTTTATTTTATTGTTTTATATTTACAGATGTATTTGGCCAAAAATCTAATGTATCGCTAGTTTTTGATTTCATGGACACTGATTTAGAAATATTAGTTAAGGATAACAATATTGTACTGACACCAGCTAATGTTAAGGCTTATATGATTATGACTCTCAAAGGTAAGCATCATCTTTTTTCCTTTGAAACTTTTATCACCCTTTTTTCTGTTATGTACTGTACTGTGATCTTTTTTATTTTAAGGTTTAGAATATTTGCACCAGAATTGGATATTACATAGAGATCTAAAACCAAATAACTTGCTTATAAACAGAGAGGGAATCCTTAAAATTGGTGATTTTGGTCTTGCAAAGGCATTTGGTTCCCCCACTAGGATAAACACACATCAAGTTGTAACAAGGTGGTACAGGTAATAAAATATAAATTACATCAGTTAATAGAGAGCAGGGTGGTTTAGGTAAAAAGGATTTGCCCTTTGGAACCCTTTGGAATGTGTTTTTGCTGTAAGTTTTGATAATACCCCTATCAATGAAAAAGGGCATGTGTAACTGATATGTTAATATTGCATTCTTGGAATTTGCAAATATCTTTAACAACAGCTAAAATATAGAACTGGTCTTAAAACAGAGCCTTGGGGTAGACAATTTTGTATATTTCTTTCATCTGAATCTGAGAGTGTATCTCAATCGTAGGTAGATCTCAATCATAGGTAGAACTACAGGGCACAACTGAACTATCAGAATGTTGCCATAATAAATAAGAAAAGGAAATATTTTAATAATAAATGGAAACCTAAAAATACAATTGGTAACCTATGCAGGCAACGGACTTGAGTGAGTCTGTACATTGTGAAAAAAAAATGGATGCATGTAACTTATGTACGCGCGTGAGAAGTTATACTTCTTTAGCATCATTAAAAATATTTTTTAATTGCATGCATATAATTAATAATTACAATAAAATAATACAAGGACACACACACACACAGGAAAAGGATAGTTAACACAGTCAATTAAGTTCAGTTTTAATTTGAAAAATTAAATAAATATTCAATTAAAATCACTACTGAATTTAAGTTATTATAAAATAAAATAAAATAAAAAAGCTTTTTATTCCATATCCATTGGTTACTTCTACATTTTATTTATGTTGGTTTGTTAGTAAACCTAAGTATTATGTTGGTTTTTAGTATTTGTTAGTACAGTTTCAGACTTGGATCCCATCTGGGTAAAAGCCTCCTCCATTGCTTTCCACTTTTCTCTATCTTTCCCCGCCTTCAGCCAGTCCCTGCCTGCCACAGACACAATATCGTCGGACCATCGTTTTCTGGGTCTGCCTACTTTTCTTTTGCCTTTTGGTCCGGTCCATCCAGTGGACTTGAGGGACCACCTTTTGTCAGTATATCTTGACAGATGACCCGCCCATTTCCATTTAAGTTTAAGGGCCTGTTCCAGAGCATCTGTTAGTCCAGTTTTGCTCCTTATGTCTGTACACCTTATTTTGTCTATTCTCCTTAATTTTAGCATGCTTCTTTCTATTGCTCTCTGGCATGTAGTAATTTTGTTTTTTATTTTATTTGTATAAACCCAAGTTTGATATCCGTACAGTAGGCTTGGTAATAGGCATGTGTCTACTACTGTCTTTTTTAGTGATATATCGAGATTGCTTTTTAGGATTTCTTTGTGTGCCCAATATTTCTTCCATGTAGAATTTATTCTTCTATCCACTTCTTCTTCGTTACTGTTTGCTCTGAATGATACCTGTTTTCCTAAATATATATATTCATTTACATATTCTATATCTTTTTCTTCAATTGTTATTGGTTTATTTTCTGAATTAGTCATTATTTTCGTTTTGCTAGGATTCATGTGTAATCCCACTATTTTACTCTGTGTGTCCAGTGATTTTAACATATTTTCTATTTCTGGAGCTGTTTCTGCAAACAAGGCAATATCGTCGGCAAATCTTAGATGACTTAGGTGTTGATTTTGTATTATTATACCTTTATTCTTCCATTCTATAGATTGGAATATATTTTCTAGGACAGCGATGAACAACTTAGGTGACAGCGGATCTCCCTGTCTAACACCTCTTTCTATTTTGATTTCTTTCCCATAGTTTTCTAATCGCAGTCTGCTTACACTGTTACAGTATATGTTTTTTAAAATATTTATGTATTTATTATTTATTTTACATGTGTTGAGTGCTTTCCATATTGAACTGTGTGTAATGCTGTCGAAGGCCTTTGTATAATCTACAAAGGCTATATATAATGGTCTGTTGTATTCTTTATACTTTTCGATGATTTGTTCTATTGTGTGAATATGATCTATTGTTGAGAAATTTGAACGAAATCCAGCTTGTTCGGGTGGTTGGTGGTTATCTATATTAGCAGCTATTCTTGCAGTTAGTATGGATGTGAATAGTTTGTAGGTGCTTGATAGTAGACTTATTGGTCGATAGTTCGAAATATCTGTGGGATCGCCTTTTTTATAAAGTAGTATGATGTCTGAGTGAAGCCAATGTTTTGGTACTATCTCATATTCTAGAATTAAATTAAACAGGTCTGTTAAGAAGGTGATTATGATTGGTGCACCGAGTTTTATTGCTTCATTACTAATGCCGTCTGGGCCTGGGGTCTTCTCTGATTTTAGTTTCTTTATATGGGTTAGTACCTCTGTTTCTGTTATGGGATCTATTGTGAGATTTTCTCTTTCTGTTGGGTGTTCAATTTCTACATTTCCTATGTCTTCTTTTGTTTTCCTATATAATTTTGTATAAAATTCAGTAGCGCAGTTCATAATGTCATTTCGGGATTTTGTTTCTTTTTTTTTAGTTTTTGAATCCATTTTTCATGTGTTTTAAGTTCTTTGTACGCTCGTTTTAAGCTTCGAAATTTTGTTAGTTTTTCTTGGATTATCCTCTATCTGTAGTTTTTGTAGTCCTCTTTAATCGATTTGTTTGTCTTTTTGAATAGATCTTTTAGTTCTTCTTTTTGTTTTTTGCTCTTATTTTTGGTTTTTATTAGTTCTGTGCGTTTGGTTATTAAATTTATTGTTTTCTCACTCATTATTTTGTGTTTATTATTTTTGTGATTTCCTTTTTCCATTTTCAGGCTCGTTGTTATGATTTCTGCTAGTTTGTTAGAGTATGTTTCGACTTCTTTAGAGTGTTGTAATATTTCTAGGTTCATTTGTATGTTTGCTTTTAGATTGTTAAGGTATGTTGTTATTTCTTCGTCGGTTTTCGGTATTCTCGGTATGTGTTTAAATGACTTTCTACTTAGTTTGTTTGGTTTTACTTGGAAAGAAGCTCTTACTGGTCTATGGTCAGATGCAAAGTGTATTTGGTTTAGGACTTCAACATTTGTGATTCTTTTAGGTTTGTTACACATTACAAAATCTATTTCATTTTTAGTTCGTGTATCTGGTGATTGCCACGTCCATTTCCGACTCTGTTTCTTTTTGAAAAATGTATTCATTATAGAAAGTTTATTTTCATTGGCATATTCAATTAATTTTTCATCTCTTTCGTTTCGACTTCCGTATCCATATTTTCCCATTATAAGATCTTCATGGGCTTTTGTGTGTCCTATTTTTGCATTAAAATCGCCCATTACCAGTGTGGTTTTTTCTGACATATCGTTTGCTGTTTTTAAGTCGTTATAGAACTGACAAATTTCTTCGTCTGTTGATCTTTCTGTCGGGGCGTACACCTGGATCAGTGTTATAGCCTCGTCTCCAAGTTTAAGTTGCAATACAGCCACTCTTTCCAATTTAAGTTATTAGTCCATATGTAATTAGCACTTGTAAGTAACTAAAACACGTTGTGTCTATATAGAAACTAGAAACATGTGGATAAATATTATAAATATAAAAACAGTGATCAGAGGCGACGAGCGTGCCAACATTGTTTTTGACAACGTGATCATCTTATGGAGCTCCATGGATCGTTCAAAGTACCTTTCGAACAGATTTACTAAAGTGGTAAACCACTAAGTGGTTAATAATCCGCCATTATTAGACACTAACATTCATAACGCGCCCGCGGCCAACTTCATGGTGTTACTATTGTGTTACAGTGATGCGCGCGCATCTCGAAATTTCACTCACATGATTTTTTCATAACGCGCCTAAAGAAGTATAACTTCAAAAATATTCCGCCGTGGACATTTGTCCCCGGAAAATTAAGTGAGGCGCATGCTGTGGAAGCAATACCTATTCTAAGATAATGTTGTATTGTAATTAACACGAAGTTAAAGAAAAAGAGAAGACATTCTAAAAAAGGAACACTGGTCCAGCCCTTTATATTGGACTGATTATTATTTGTATAAGTGGTAGTTGTGATTATTTACAATGCGTTCACTATAACCTCTGAGTTGATGGTCGTCATTGTTGAATAAAACAATGTTTCACGATCTTTCTGAAAGATAATTAAATATAGTTTGTGTAAATCAATGCAAAACATAGGAAAAACCTACTTGAAGTTGAATTAATCACTAAAATCACTTAAAATAATAACCTCCATGATTTTTAGTTTTTGATTCCAGGCTTCGACAACCGTCCTCAATTATTTGATAAGATTATTTATTTTGCATTTCTGATTATGAAATCTATAAATGCCATGAATTCCTTCAACAAATATTTTGCCATTGTCCTTTTGGTTGTAATAACTTTTTTTATATACTTATCATATAAAAGAGTTCTTTTTTCCTTCTTTACCACGTACATCACTATCGAGAGCGCAATGCGGAATAAAGTCCCGCGTGTGCGTTGCCGCCTCTTGTCACATATATTCTATTTTTTTCGCGAAATCTCGCGTACTTTTACCCGCCGCACAGTGGGTGAAAAAAAGAGGTCCCCTTTCATAGGATTTTTGAAAAAATAAAAATGTTTATTATCCGTTTAAGGTATGCGGTTTTATTGGACATATCAGTACATTGAATAATAAAATAGTTTGGGGAATTTCCTTTTAATCTAACACCGTAAAGCACGGGCTTTAGAGTTTCAAATGTATGAAAACGGAATTTGTTTTGCTCATAACTTGTATCGGTCTTCTACGGTCAAGCTGAAACTTATAGGGATTATTACCGGGTCTGTTACGAAGCCATGTGACCTTTGACCTTCACCCCGGACGGCCCCGTTCAAAAGATACGAATTTTTCAAAATGCTTATTAGGGTAATTTTGCTTTACGGGGTTATGTGTCTCAATAAACAGTTTGTTTATGTTTCTTGCCCAGCATTTAGTTATTAATATAACACAGATTATTATCTAATAAAACTACACAGTAGATAACGCCACCATACAACTTAACTTTAAATAAAAGCGTCCTAATTCAAAAGATATGGAATTAATATAAATAGATAAAAGAAATAGTTTTAAGAAAAAGAAAACAAGAATACAATATTG